AAGAATGAACATTAAATGAAGATCTTATCAGAGTTAAAATTTGAAAATAGTGTTCTCTTACCAGAAAAACCTTGCATTACCTCCCCAAACATTCAATTTGAAAAGTACAACGCCATTATTAGAAAACCTGTGAGTTTTTCTCAACTCTTTGACTAAAATGTATTATGCTTCAGATTTACAGTTTGGATGGCTTATTATTAAGTTATCATCAAAGTTCCTCTATTTCTGTTTTCTCAACTATGTATAAGATCTCTAAATTTCATTTGATTGGATTTGGTGGTTTCTACTTTTGACCAAAGATCTAAAATCTTACTTTGAAAGACTTAATTTTCATAAACAGAAGGAAATCTGAGAATTAATTCAAGGGAAAGAGAGCAGAAGTGATCTCTGAGCTCTCTGTGGCTGGGCTACTAGCTCAATATGCCTTTATTGTAGTGATTAAGCCTGTATTTATTTGTACTTTTAATTTAGAGATGGAATGCACTTTAGGGTTGATACATGGCAGATTAAGTAAACACAATCAAAGTTCATTAGTAGCTGATGACAGAGATGAGCTTAGAAGTAAAGATTCTGGATTTAATAGATGTAATCAGCATACAAACATGCCACAAAATAAATATTTAAAAACTAAAAGATATTGAGTATATGATTAGATTTAACCTATCACAAAAACTGCTAAATTTGTCTACCATTAATCTGCTCAGTCTTCTTGTTTTTTTTCTTGACCATTACACCTTTTCACAATTTTGTACTTCATTCTTTCAATAGTCATTCATGGTTGGAGAAAACACACAGACTTTAGCTTGAGATGTGTTCTGTCCACTGAAATGTCTGACCTTTAGTAAGTTCTTCTTTGAATTCACTTTCTACTGGGTAAAATGATATAGTAGTCACTTCATAGTAGTGGTGTGAGAATTGACAAAAATATCTGACAGTTACTTTACACCAAATAATAGCTTATAAATATTACCTCTGAATTCATACCTTTATATGCTGCAGCAACTTCTTAATCCTCATCACACTGTCCTGTGTAAATATATATTGTAGTAGGGTTCTTACTTTAATATTTGTTTCTATAATTACCTCTCATGGATGCCCAACTAATTGCCCTTTTTGTTTTTATATTCTGCTCAAGTTTCCTTCCATATAGATCAAGAAAGAAAACCCAATATATAAAT